GAAACTATAGAGTCTAATTCACTTTTAATTGCCTCTTTCCAGAAACTAGCATCTATTGACCTCATTGCTTCAATGTTTGTCTTAGGTTCTTTTTCTATTAAATAGATTGACACTAATTCATCACTCAAAATATCAAGATCAATATTTTCAGTCAAGAAAGTAGTAATAAAGTCAGGACCAAAGCTAACTTCAATTCTACGCCTCTTACTTCTTCTAAGTTCATTTTCATGCTCATTAGCAGTAACACCAGAAGAAGGCACAATATGCGAATTAATAGACATAGATATAGAAGCATTATTAGGCACATTATTTTTCAATGGAATAACATGCTCAAAAATTCTGCATCTCTAGATCCACAAATAGAATTATCATTCAAATACATAAATCTATATGCAGCACTATTTTGAGCATAACCAATGAAAATAGCATCAAAAGTCTTTGGTCCAACAATTACTTGTTTAAAATCAAGTAGACCAACCTTAGCAAACATCCCCACACTTTCAGAAATTTCATGTTAGGGGCAAACCATTTCCATAACTCATACGGGATTTTTTATCTTACTTCTTATGAGGGACTTTATTAAGAACATAGCATGCAGATAAAACAGCTTCCCGCCAAATATTATCAGATAAATCCGAACTCAAAAGCATAGAATTCATCATTTTCTTAAGGGTTCTATTTTTCCGTTCAGCTGCACCATTTTGTTGGGGAGTATATGAAGCACTAACCTCGTGTATAATACCATTTTTCTCACAAAAGGCTTCTAGAGTATTAGTACTATATTCACCACCATTGTCAGACCTAAGCCTCTTGATTTTTCTGTCTAATTGATTCTCTACTTCTGCCTTCTATTTCAAAAATATTCTTTCAGCCTGATCTTTTCACTTAAGAAGATATACCTTAGTGTATCTAGAAAAGTCATCTACAAAGGTGATGTAGTATTACTTTCCACCCTTACTAACAGCGTTCTTGAAATCCGCTAAGTTTGAATGTACTAGTTCAAGCAATTCTATTTTTCTACTAGTTACATTCTTAAAAGGCTTTTTGGTATGTTTTGATTTTGTACAAACAAGACACTTAAAAAAATTATCAACATTAACTGCAGGAATTAGTTCCATTTTTCTAAGTCTTTCAATAGAAGCAATATTAACATGACCTAATCTACCATGCCACAAATAAATAGACTCAACAATATAAGCAGAAAAAGTACTAGCATTATTAGTAATCTCTTGGGCGATGTTCAGTACAAATAAACCCCCACTAAGGTAACCTTTCCCAACAAAGTCTCCCCCATGAGAAATAACAACTTTATCAGATTCAAAAATAAGTTTAAGACATGCTTTGTTGAGAAGCGCACCAGAAACTACATTTCTACGAAGGAAGGGTACATACAGAACATTGTTCAAGGCTATGCTTTGTCCAGAAGTTAACTTAAGGAGATTTTTTCCTTTACCCATAACTCCAGCTGTAGTGGAGTTACCCATGTAGACAAACTCGCCATCAGCAGATTCCTCAAAGCAGTGAAACAGCTCCTTGTTGGCGCAAAGGTGCCTTGAAGCGCCTGTGTCCAGTATCCAGTCAGTCTTTTTTGCCACCATGTTCGCCTCAACAACCACAGCAGCAATGACATCACCACCCTCAGTAAGGTTAGCTTAGACTGGAGCTTTTCCTCCATTCTTTGAGTTTTGTCCTTGTCTCTAGTTGCACTGAAAAGCCTTGTGACCAATTTTGCCGCAGACATAGCAAGGTCCTTTCAACTTTTGAATATGGCCCTTCGGCTTATTGAAGTATTTCTATTTCTTCACATGTCCTTTCTTCTAGCCTTTCGTATGTTTTCCTTTAAACCTGTCTTTCACAAAAGTACTAGAAGATTCCACAAGGTTAGCTTTAGAAGAATTAAGAGAGAGAGAGATTTCATCTTATCCTTAAGCTGTTCAGACTACTCATCTTTGAGACGGTTTGCTTCCTCAGTCCTCATGTGACTGATCAGTTCTTGAAGAGTTAAGTTTTTCTTCTTGTGTTTCAGGTGATTCCTGTAATCACTCCGGGAAGGTGGAAACTTTTCAAGTAGAACATTAGCCTGAAGAATCTAACACATCTCCATGCCCTCGTTTAAAACATCAACAGTCAAGTTCTCATAGTTGTGAACCTGCTCTATGATTGGCTTATCATCAACCATCTAAAACTTGATCCACTTTCCAACAACATACTTTTCTTTCCCTGCATCATCAGCACCATATTTTTCTCCAAACTGTCCCACATGACTTTAGCAGATTGATAATTTATAAACAAATCAAAGAGAGGGCTAGTCATATGGTTAAGCAGATGCCCTCTCACTGTTCTATTATCCTTTTAAAATTTTGTTTTAGCAGCATCATTAGCAACAACAGTATTAGAAGAATTAGCACTATCACTAACAACATCCGCAGGAACATCGTTAAACAAAACATAATCAACTTCTAATTGTTCAAAGAAAATTAAAAGTTTCTAGGACCAACACTTATAATTGTTTCCATCTAAAGGCTCAGACAGACCAGGAAGTGTTTTGTTCAAAGTTGTGGCCATTAGTCAATATTATATGAAAATCGTTTTCAAATTGTAAGAAAAATAAGTAGAGAATATTGACTAAGAACAAGAAGGAAACAAGAACAACTTATCAAAAATATTGTATCGTGGCAAGCCACTGCCTTGAAAGCGATTTCGGCCCAACTGGGTGCAAATCGTTAAGACTGGTCACTCCCCAAGGTTTCACAACAAACTCCAAACACGTGCACTCGTGGTTGGAAGTTTGGAATTTGCACTAAACAATTTCCCAACATTCGGTTTAAGAAGAAGAGAGATGAAGGTGTTTTTTCTGTGGTAGATAATTCACAAAGAAGACTGCCTTTACTTATATCTCGCGCGTAGGGGGGGGGGGGGAATCGACCCGCTTTGCCTTCAGGACCAACTTCTCATGTGCGCGAGACCACTCCCTTTTACTAGCTCTTTACAAGCCCAACAAAGTGTAATTCATTATAAAGTAAAGAAAAAGACTTTCCATAACCAATGAGGGACACTTTGTCTTTCACAAATGACAAAAAAGTAAAGAAGGAAAAGGGACTAGAAAGAAATCTTTGACTTTGCATTATAAGATATAAAATAATACCAACACAAATATCATGGTTCAGGTCTGTTGGATTGTGGAGGAAAAGGGTACTCAAAGCGCTTGAATGAGAGACATATCGCTGCACATCTGGAAGTGACCTACCATCGTCCACAAGAGAGGGTGCGCGATATTCTTGAGGTTTGGAGCTCTGCCTTTTTATTTATTTATATGTTTTATCTGGAATACTTTGCGATTGAGGCATAGTTGACTAGTTGATTGGTTGATTTTATTTTTTAACATAGAAGAACAGTGTCATATGTGCGTTAAATTAATTGTTATTGGCGCTGTTACTTTGTTTCTATGTTGCTGCACTTCATATCAGTTACTATTGTTTTTTGTTCTGGGATAAATGCATGTCGATATTGATTTATCTATTATTAGGAGCCACACGGCAATGTGTTGTCACACGAATTCACTTGATAAGGGTGTGGTAGAAAAGAGAATGTGAATAAGAGAGAGCGAATCTTATTTTATATTTGTGATTTATAATTGCATGGGTGAGGTTTTCTAGTTTGGGAATTTAATTTGCTAGAAGTGGTGATTTTGATACAAGTAAGATAACTTGATGATGTGCTAATTTGCGTGACTATACACATCATCAATGTAAATAAAATCTTCTGTTTTCTTCTTTTATGGTGAGGGAAAGTCTGTCCTGCTTTGCCACGGGCTCTATTGGTGAACAATAGCTATTTTTTAGTCCCGTGTTATGATCCCTATTCCATCTTTAACATATTTGGAAAATAATGTTAGATATTTAAGGCTAAGCATTTGCCATGATCACCAACAGAGGATTGTCTTTTATGTCTAGATTTCTTTTGAGGCTAGACAGTAGTCATTTTTGACATGTAGAGAGTCGGAAAAGAAATCATCGTTGCTGTGTTATACTTCTTCAAAATATTTATTAGCAAAAGTTACAATCAGATGACTGTTTTATACAATTCTTGCTCAAATTTGATTTGTGCAGTGACTCAGTTTATTTTAGTTAGGATATCAGTAATGAGTACTCCTTTGTATTTCTGCAGCTTAAGTATCAAGATATTTCTGCAGAGTAATCCAGCTCCAGTACATTACACTCAACCACCTCAATATGTTAGAGAACAGAAAGCAGAAGATGGCTACAATTGGAGAAAACATGGGCAGAAGCAAGTGAAAATAAATGAGAATTGTTTAACCATAAATCAAGTAGATATTTCCACCAAGATTCTTTTCTAGACTTTGGAGACAAGTACATGAAAAACATCATTTTCTCTGCAAGTAGCTAAATATATCAGTTAAGCTTTGTCCTTCATGTGCATCTGAGTTGGCTACTTTACAAAAACACAAACGTCAAACAATTCCATGTGTATTTGTTATAAAAAACAGCCTAGTTTAAGGCCACAACATCCACATATATGTTCATTTGTGGATATTCAACGAGGTAACAAAAAATACAACATCCAGACTTATCATTGATAATCATCCACACAAGTCTGACGATCAAGTTCACCCACACTTAAAAAGAATTCCATTCTGTATTCCCATGCTGGGGCCAAGGAAAGAAAAGACCTTACCACGAATATCAAATAGATCGCCCATTCCCCTTAATTTATGTCCTCAATTTTCACACTTTCAATGCTAGAAGTTAAATAGACAAAAACAAAAAACAAGAGACACTGCATCATTCGAGACAATTTAAAGAATTGCTTATTGATTAGTAAAAAAGAAAGGTATACAGTGAGGAAAGTATCAGCCTCTGTACATACAAAACAATATTTGAGGGCCTACCCTATCAAATTACAAAAATTTTTGCTCGTTCGAACATATCATACTATCAGCAAATTAAAGTGTTGGACAGAGCAAAACAAATACTAGTATTTCAGTAGTCCACGGCGTTATTAGCATGTAACTCCAATAAATGCCTTAGACCATCTCTAAATAGCCCATAAACCTTTGAATGGTGCCCTTTTGCTGCAGCTACATGAAGATCTTGTTCGAACTTGAACTCAGGAAATACAAAACCCTTTTTGCTGAAGAGAGTATCAATCATATTCTTCGAAGCCTCCACTGTCAGTCGAAATCCATCCCAATGTATATGCGAAGCCCTATCAGAACATGCTACAACTCCTTTCTCTCCACACTGCTTTAGAGGATCAAAATTAAAAGGACCGCATCCAGCACTACCACAACAAACCTTCATCAACGTCTTAGTCTTGAATCCCAAGAATGCATGATTGCGTACAACCGCCATAAGCGCCTTGTAATAATCTGCATATATGATCTCAACTTCAGTGTACTTCAATCGCAGCTCCTCCAACGCTTGCCATAGATGATCATTGTGTAATGTTGCGAACAAATTTAGTCCTTTGTGATATTTAATTTTCCTGCTATTGTCGTCTTCGGGAAACATTGTTCGAAAACCTGGAAGGCAACCCATGGGAGTAATTCCAGTAACCACAAAGTGTTTGGCCTCGGCATCTTTGATCAGTTGTTCGATAGAACTCTTGATTGTCTCCACAACATCAGGGACAAGTTTGGACACTTCGGAAATAGATTTTGTATGTAAAAGAGAGTACTTGTAATCATTAAAACCAGGCTGATCCATATAGACGATAGCTTTCTGAAGAACTTTGTTCCTGCCGCAGTCATGAAAAGAGAAGCAATCCTTATAGAAGAGTTTCATAAAGGCAGAAATCTGCGAGTGATGAGACTGTTGAGGTGCCGGGATGCCATTCTTGATGAAGGAAAAGGGACTCATAACTGTTGCTCCAGGCGTCATGAAACTAATACCGGACTCGAACTCAACGCCTTCGTTGGTGTAATGTTGTAGAGAAGGCAGACCAAGTACAGCGGCAAAATGATCAGAAGTAGAAGCAGAGTCACTGCCTCCAAAGCTAAGATTCTTTCTGTGCCTTAGCGGAAGAAGCAGCAAAAATGATTAACAGCAAGATGAGGAAGAAACAGTGGTTGGTAAGGGAAGCCATTGAAAGAGAAGAAACAACGATGAAAACTTAGTTTAGGTTAGTGGTAGTATTTATAGAGGTCCCTCAATCGTGGAGTTTAAGCTATGTTACAGAAACCTAGTAGTAATAGGAAATATTCTGACTGCGGCAAATTTCCATATATACTTTATTTTCTTACTTTTGCTTCAAGTTTCTATTAGAGAAACGCTTAAATTTGCTTGATTAAAAGGCCTACACTTAAATTTTTTGCTTAATGTTTCCATATTCAGTTGTGAAGCAGAATTTAAATATATAAGGTAACCTTATTAAATGCCAAAAATTAAGAAAAAAAATTCTGATTGGATTTCGTTTAGGGAAACTTTCATAATTATCAAATTTTTAAATAATAGTATATACATAATCCTAGCATCAAGTATATATCAACTGAGGCAGTATATTATTTACATTTCTAGATACCTGACATCTCTTTAATGTCCGGGAATGTCGCAATTTCATTCCAAAAATCTCTCCTAAAAATTAGGACTTCTCTTTTATGTCCTTAATTCTTGCCATCATCTCCTAATTACATTCATTACTAACACATCATTCCTATCCCACCCATAAATCATGTTTAACTTTTTCTATATTCTTTTCCAATAGCCTCTTAAAAAAATGAACAAAATATGTTAAGTATATTATACATAAATCATGTTTAACTTCTCCTATATTCTATTCCAATAGCCTCTTCAATGAGAGGCCTTTTTTCTATAAAAGAAAAGAAAATTCGTATATAATTTCATTTAAATTCTATTTTTCTAGTGTTTTTATGCAAAGTGAATAATAATTATTATTTTATCCATTTAATCTCTCTTGAGGCATACTTTCTAATTAAAGATTTTTGTTGTTTGCTAAAAACTTATCCAAGGCATATTTTGGGATTGTATTAAACTTTCAATTTTTTTTTGAGTTATGAAGTAATAATTGAATTCTTTCTCAATTTATGATCTAGAGAGTGATTCCCAGAAAGATATTCTTTTATCAATTATGCTCAACAATTTAATCTTATTTTTTACTATGAAAATTTGTACTTTATCAGTTAAAAAACTAAATATGCTTTTAAAATTAAATTACCATATAACCTATTAGGAAAATTGGGGCCCCAAAAATTATCCAAAGCAGTTGCTTTAGCAGCTTCACCCTTGGTCAGCACTGCACCCATCATGTTGGTGCTCCTCTCTAACCACCCTCCATTTCTAATATAAAATTTTTTGTACCTCTTGAACTTAATTAATTGAACTATCTCACTTGGCAAAAGGTTTTCAAGCCTTTCTTGCGTAGCCAAAATCTTTTGGACCTTGTGGAAGCTTTTGTCCTATGCCGTGATCTCAGTTATCTACAATACACATTGTGGATTCAGCACAACACAAATGCTCATAGCTGGATCAATGCGACATTGCCACCATTTGTCTAGTAATATTGGGAGTTAGATTATTAGCATGGATAAGGGATTGGGTTGCTACAGAGAAGCACGGAAAGGAGCAGAGAAAGTGAACTACCTGAACCCGTGGAATACACATGATTTTGGCTAGAGGAGACTGCTCTGATACCATATAATGAATAACAAGATGAAACAAAAGATGATTTTATTGAATGACCATGAACTAAATATATACATAAGCCTATAACAGAGTTATTGAGATAATACTCCTCCTATAGTGGAACCAACCAGAAATCAAGGAACTACACAACAAACTCCTAGAATATTGGAAACAAGACAAATTCAAAATATAAGCTACAGCAAAATATAGTCAGTAAAATATAATCAATAATTGTAAATACTAACATGTGCTAATATTATTGTTGAAACGCTTCAAAATTACAACTTTGAAACTTCTCATCAGTCTTGGAGCATGCTAGAGAAGCTTTTTTCTTGACCATGTTCTTCCTCTATGATATATTTTAAAAATAAATTTCAGAATTTCAAGAAAGGATCTCTTTCAATGGAAGAATATCTACAACAATTGCATTCTCTATCAAGTGCGTTTTCCGCCATCGCAAAGAAAATATCAGACGAGGACCTTGTTGCTCAAACTTTGCAAGGGTTACATCCTTCATACAGAACATTTGTTTCTGGATAAAATGCCAATAGATCATTTTCCTCATTTTTGCTCTATGTCCTCGTCTTCTTACTGAAGAGGAACACATCAAAGTCATTTCACCTGATGTGTCTCAACTGTTGGTGGCTCTCTTGCTGCCATCAGACATTCTAATGATATTAGCCGTGTCAATCAACAAAATCAAGGTTATGGCTCTAGTCAAAATCAAGGGAGATTTCATAATAAGAATCGTGGTTGTGGATTTGGGCATAACAATTATCACACAATTTTTGGTAATACTTCTCGCTCTTTCCTGTTAGGAGTTGTCCTGATTTTCTTACCGTATCTAGTTTTCCTATCTCATGAAGGAAAGGACAACATATTTACCATAATTATGGGTTTTCTTTTCCTAGAAGGAAAATATAATTCTTCCATATTTGGCTAGTCCCTTTTCTTTAAGGAAAAGGTTTGGAGTTCTATAAATTGAGGATCTGCCCTTCTCATTTAGTAGCATCCACAATATAGTCATATGGGGCTTGAGAATCGTGTTTAGGAGGAGAACTTTACGGGACAAGTGTTAGCGTGTCACTTGTGTTTGCTTCTTTGTGAGGTTGTTCTCTCGATATTTTTTACTCTCTTTTTATTATAATGGATTGCTCATCTCCACCGTAGACGTAGGTCATTTGACCGAACCACGTTAAATGTTTGTGCCTCTTTTGGTAGATTTCTCTTTTGTTGTCTGATTTATCGTCGTTGAAGGTTCGCTTTACTAGCTTCCGCATGACACCTAACTTTTTTCGGTCCTAACATTTCCCCGTTGGTCAAAGCATCCTTGGCCCTCCACCTACTCCAAATGCTACTAAACCGATGACACAATGTCAGATTTTGTTTTCACTACAACCATACAACTTTGGAATGTTGCAATCGCTTCAACCATTCATTTGTCCCATATAATTCTCCCAAAGGTTTGTGAGCAATGAGCCTATAAAAAGTACCCGCAACAATGTGGTATCCTGATACGGGCACCTCCTCACACATAATGAGAAACCCAATGCCATTTCTAATAATCTTGCTCCATGCCGGGTAACGCGCAAGTGATGGTTGTAAATGGTAACCTAATTCATATCTCTCATGTAGGTCATAGTTTTTTTCCTACTTCTAAACAACCTTTGCTTCTTAAAAATATTCTTGTTGTTCCTCATCTTAAGAAAAAATTGTTATCTATTCATCGCCTTTGTGTCGACAATAAGTGTTTCACTTACTCATCATTTTCTGTTACGGATTCGAAGACCAACCACATACACGCCAATGTAGGCACTCTGGCTCGCTCTATTCGTTTTCATCTTCTTCAAGATTCACTCCATCAACATGTCCTACTGCTTTGTTTGGATCTGCTTCACAATCTTCATTGCAGCATAAGCGCCTTGGCCATCCTGGAGAACTTGTGCTTGATGTATTGTCGCAAAATAACATTATTTCTAGTTCTTCATGCTTTAATCCTTCTATGTGTAATATTTTTCATTTGGGAAACAATCTAGGATCGCGTTTTGAAGTTCTACAAGTACAACAAATAAAGCTTTCCTTTTAATACACTATGATGTGTGTACATTTACTATTGTGCTCAATTTTGGTTATTGTTAGTATGTGCTCTTTGTGGATGATTGTACCAAATTCTCTTGGACCTATCTCATGCGCCAAAAATCTGAAACATTTGGCAAACGTCTTGAATTCTATAATATGATATCATGTGTCTTTGATTCATCAATTTCATATTTTCAATCTGATGGGAATAAAGACTAATACTCAATTTAAGTCTTTTTTCCGTGATAATAGTATTACTCACCAATTTTCTTGCCCATATACTCCCCAGCAAGATGGCCATGCTGAACTGCAAACATCGACACCTCAATAATGTTATTCATTGCTTACTTTTTTAAGTTAATATCCCAGCATCATTTTAGCTGGAAGCTCTAGTTTATGCTACTTATATTATCAATAGGCTTCTACATCAAAATTTAAAATTTTCTTTACCATATAAATGTTTATTCTAGAAGAGCCAGATTTATCCTTTGTAAAACTATTTGGGCGTCTTTGTTATTCGCGTACTGCCTTTGATCATGTTCATAAATTCCTTCCATGTTCCACTCCTTACTTATTTGTGGGGATTTCTTTGAATCACAAGGGATACATGTGCTTGATTCTTCATCTAACAAAGTGCTAATTTCTAGGTATGCAAAATTTGTGGAAGATATGTTTCCAGATTCTAACCCATGCTAAATTTCATAGCAACTTTGATTTTCCACACATCAACTTCACATATATAATCTCCTAATATTTCTTCTCCACAATCTACCCATGCATTTCTCCCTCAAATTATGGGATTCAAACAACTCCTTCCAATTCTTATGCCAACCCACTTCCTAATTCACATGATTCTTGTAATTCAGCTCCATCTAAAAAAATTCTAATTCTTCTCCATCTTATAATTCTTCTAGTTCTTCTCTGTCTAATAATTTTCCTAGTTCTCTCCACCTAGTAATTCTCATAATTCATCTCCTTCAAGTAATTCTCCAAATTTATCTCCCTCGAGTAATACTCCAAACTCACTTCAATCAAACTCTTCTTCTTGAGTGGTCGCTGCTCAAGACTCTAAAATTCATAGGACGGCAATTCTATGACGGGTTCTTTAATTTGAAGCCAAAAGTTTAATCTTTTTTACTTGCAGCGTCCTCCCCTGTTTTGAGTCCATTACTTGAATGGTCACTCAACTACATGAAATTATCAAGTAAAGTCATCTTTCTTTCGTTTGTAACAGAAAAGTTATCTATAACACTCAAAAGGTAACTCAACCACATTTCTCAAATTTTTGATTGTCTACCTATTTTATCCTCTAAAATTGGTATTTGATATTATGAAGTTACCTATAGAACAAATAAATTTTATTTACAAAATAAAACAAAAAGTTTCTAGCATATATAATGTCGGAATAATAATAGAATTGAGCATAATTTTCAAGAATATATAATGCATATCATAAAATACATTTATTTTAAATAATTATTTTTATATTGCATGCATGGAATATATATTATAAAACTCTTTATTTTCGTTCATACTCTATTGTGTAAATATTTTGTTTGAGTTTTTATTGTTAACATCAAAACTATTATTACGAACAAGTTGTTCTAATTAATTTTTTTACTATGCTCAACATTTTATTATTCTAACATTATATACGCTTAAACACTTTTTTTTTTAACTTATACAACAACAACAACAACAACAAGCCCAGTTTGATCCCAACAAGTGGGGTCTGGGGAGGGTAGTCTGTACGCAGACCTTACCCCTACCTAATTCAGGCAGAGAGGTTGTTTCCAATAGACCCTCGGCTCAGGAAGGGCAAGAAGAAGAAGAGGAAAGCAAGGGAGGAAGAAGGATGGAAGATAAAAAATTTAAAAAAAAAAGGATAAGTGGCACCAAATAATAGCAACAGGGAATACAATACCCGAGGCGAACAAAACCACATAACCTACTAAAAATCTAAGACTATGAAGGGACTCGCCTACTACTAAGACTATCAGTGAACAACTATAAACTACCAACTAACCTTCTGCCTTAATCCTCGACCTCCACCCTCTCCTATCAAGGGTCATGTCCTCAGTGAGTTGAAGCAGCGCCATGTCCTGCCTAATCACCTCTCCCCAATACTTCTTAGGCCTACCTCGACCTCTTCTCAAACTCTCCATGGCCAACCTCTCACACCTCCTAACTGGAGTATCAATGCTTCTTCTCTGAACATGTCCAAACCATCTCAACCTCGACTCCCGCATCTTGTCCTCCACGGAGGGTACTCCCACTCTATCCCGGATATCTTCATTCCTAATCCTACCTCTCCTGGTACACCCACACATCCATCTCAACATCCTCATCTCTGCTACTCTCATCTTCTGCACGTGGGAGTTCTTGACTGGCCAACACTCAGCCGCATACAGCATAGCCGGTCGAACCACCACTCTATAAAACTTACCCTTAAGTCTTAGCGGCACATTCCTATCACACAAAACACCAGAAGCGAGCCTCCACTTCATCCATCCGCTCCAATACGATGCGCGATATCTTCATC